CAAAGTTTAAGGATTCTAAGATTAATTCCTTTGTGCAATTCAATTGAGTCTTAACCAATTTATCACTTAAATTGTATTCAAATCAAGTTCATTCATAACCAAACATGCATAATAGACCAATCATAAACATCCATGCATTTATCTAGTAACAACATGTTCCATAAAGCATGAAAGAGGTAGTAAATTATTACCTTGATTTTTTAGCCACATCAATTAACCAATTAAACTCCCTTTGATCGCCCTCGAACTTTAATTCCACATCCCATAATGTCTAGGATACATGGTAAAACCAATTACTTTAGAAACAGAACTCAAACGTGAAAATTCGTATTGAATTGGGAAATAGCATACTGAAAAACAACTTACAGAGTTCGAATTTGGAAAAACATACTTTGGGTTTAGACTCACAGGACGTCGAAAAACATAAAAATGGCTTTTCAAAATTTTTGAATTTTTGGTCAAAGTCAACGGTTAACAGTCAAAGTCAACGAGTAGGTCAATGGTCAATGGTCGGGTCAACGGTCAGGTCAAAGTCAATGATTCAGGTCAAGGTTAACGGATCTGACCGATTCGGGTTGACTCAGGTTGACTCGGGTTGACTCGGTTCTGTCTAAGTTAACTCAGACCGGTTCAAGTTGACTCGAACAAATTCTAGGAAGATCTAAGACCGGGGAGGAGCCCCACACGCACTTTCGGCGCGTGACGGTGCGTGTGGCGGCGACAGGGGCCATTTTGAACGGTCGATCGATCCCAGTTCATCTATACACTTGAATTAATCCAATATTCATCTAAAATCACAACAACATTTACCTAAAACTCACCAGAATTCATTCGAAACTTACCTTGACGGTGAACGGAGAGGACGACAATGACCATGTATCCCACCGGGTGGGTTTTGAGAGCACGACGACGGTGAGTTCGGCTACAGCGGCGGTGAGGTAAGCTGACGCCTTGAACGGTCGAAATTGAGGAATAAGCAATGCGTCAGGTTGGTTTTCATCGTAACCTTGGTGAGCTCCCCTACGGTGAATGGAGACGTAAACCAGAGCGGGGTTGAAGGGGTTTTGGTTAGAGCGAGGTGGGGGTCACGGTGGGGGTGGCGGTGTGCTCCAAAGGTGGCCAGATAGTGGTGGATTTGGGAGGCGACGGGGTGTGATTATAGGGGTTAGGGATTTTGGGATTTTGGGAAATTGGGGGGTTTTGGGTATTATAACCCAATTGTAATGCCTTAAAAGATATTTTAATTATAAAATACCAAATAGTACCCTAGACTAAACGATTAGGGCATGGGCGACCTTCCCTAGGGACAGTGGTTCGAATACCTATAGCCACCAATTTCATTTCTTTTAATTTTTCTCTTCCGACAAAAAAGGGGAAATTTGGGGTTAGGTCTCTAAACTTCCTATATGTGCTAAAACAATCTACAAGTCCCAAAATTTTGCAAAATTTCATTAATTTTTTATTATCTAAAATTAGGGTTGTGACATTGTCTGATTATGACATTTTTTTTGTAAAAGAATATCTTTACAACGATTTATTTTATACATTTTACTTTATATTACATTTGATACTTGAACTCAATGGTTTTACCTTGGGCATGGACAAGGTAAATAATCTTAATGATTATTAGAACCCAGTAAAAAAAACACATTGAGATTAATTAGGTGGTTAGAATATAAAGGAATTTTGGAGTTAGTCCTTGAACTTCCTGCAGGTGCTAAAACGATCTGCAAGTCCTGAAATTTTGTAATTTGATCCCTAATTTCATTAGTTTTTTTATCAGAAATTAGGGTTGTGACATTTATTCTCTGATTATGACATTTATTTGTAAAAGAATATCTTTAGAACGATTTATTTTATAATTTTACTTTATATTACATCGATAATTGAACTCAATGGTTTTACCTTGGGCATGGACAATGTAAATAATCTTAATGATTATTAGAACCCAGTAAAAAAACACATTGAGATTAATTAGGTGGTTAGAATATAAAGGAATTTTGAGTTAAGTTGATGTTATTGGGGTTTTTTTTTGTGACCAAATGCTTTTTTTTCCAGTTAAAACTTTCATCATGGTGCTGTCTATAGGATCATAATCTATGGCTGGTCTTTCAAGGAATCTTTATATGACAGTTTCCATTTAGTGGGATCAAATGAAAATGCACGCCATGTAGTATTTTTTTAAGCTTTTCAGTTTCTGTACCTTTAAATTTGAGTTAATATAGAATTCCATGGTTTCAGTTAAAAAACAAAAAAGCTTTGCCATGTGAGACTGAGACCTACAATGAGATTGGCCTCTTCAAGGATGGGTCGAGTGATGGGTGACCCAATTGCCCTCTCAAAATTTAAAATTATCATATATTTAAAAATTATGTATATTTTTATTAAAAATATATTTTCATTCCCTTAAAATTGAATAAGTTCGAGTTCGTCCCCGATATTTTACAAATTCAAATTCGCTCTTCAAACATAAAATCTTATGTTTGCCCTGAGCCTCTCGTTTATAAAGGAAACTTAACTAAAACTTCTATTAGTATAATAAACATATAAAAGTTATAGGATAAAGTACACATGTGATCTCCCGATTTATAAGGTGTTATTTTATTGAGTCTCGCGATTATTAAAAGTTACAAAATGATCATCCAACTATTCATATGCCCCAAACTCATCAATTTTCGTTAAAAAATTATGGTTGTCTGAGATTGACGTTAACCTGCTGACTGAGATATAGTAAAATAATATTTTTAATGATGTATATTGATAACGTCGTTACTTTCAAGTATTGGTTCTACGACATAATGTAAACGAAGATTTAATCCACAAAATACGACTGAAACAATTCTAGGATTATATTTTATCATATCTTAGTCGATAGATTAACGTCTAACTCAATCAGTCGCTAATTTGTTAACGGAAAAGGAGGAGTTTATAACATATGAATAGTCATATGACTTTTCTATAACTTTTAATAGTTAGATGACTCAATAAAATAACATCTTATAGTTGAAAGATATTTTATAATAATCAGATACTCAACAAACTAACACTCAATAATAAAAGGATCATTTATGTATTTCACTCAAAATTATATATGTTGAGATTCTTAAATCAAATACGAATTAATGTACGAAGGTGGAGCCTCTGACTGTGGGGTCCATTTAATTATACAAGATTCTCTCTATTATTTTTGGTCGTAAGAGGGGCTCGTTTGTTATCATCCTCTAGATAAACATTACGAGTGATTGTGTTTTTTTAGTGGCATATGACTGGCACTGTGGCTTAGCCAAAAAGGGAAAAAAGAAAAATGTCTTTGAACAATTTGACTAATTAAGAGCTTTTATGGAGACCACATTATTACATCATCATCAAACTTTGCATGCATAAGTTGATAGGTTAGTCATCAATGCCTTCACAAATCCACATGGTTTTTGCGTAATCATCTTCCATATTTCTCTCAACAGAGAATTTTAAGATACTGTATTGGTAAGTTTTATACAAAAATTACCGTAATAGGTAAAAACAAAAGAACTCGTTTTTGTTTATTTGAGATATATATTTTTAGATGAGTATGTCACACTCGATAAATATCACTGAATATCATTAACGATGAATATCATTAAACACTATAATTTTAATTTATAAAAATTAAAATTTTAAAAGACTTAACATATAATTAAAAATTAATTAAAAATTTAAAAATAAATAATTTAAAATAAAATATTAATTACATTATTTTCTATAATTTTTTAACAATAATTTATAATTTACCTTTAAATATTATTTAAAAAATTATAATTTACCTTTAAAAATTATTTCTAAGTTGGGATCTTCTATTGTCTTCTTCTGTTACATAAACAATGTTATCCATAATCCTAAACATTGAAACATTTGCAATTAATAAATGTATATATGCCAACTTTACTAATTTAGTATCATAATCACCTTTAAGGTATCCATAATTGCAAAAATACCATCATATTTAACACTGATAATTAATATATACATCCTAATAAATCGCTGCAGTACTTAATAGGTCTTTGAAGTATTGGATTTGGGTCCAATACGGGTTAAAGGGTTTCTCATCATCGAAGATAGACGTAGGATTTTATGTTAAAGTGAACTTATAAAATTTTAATAGAATGAAAACAAATTATCAATAAAAAATATATAAAATGTATGAGAATTTAAAATTTTCAAAGGACGACTACCCTCTCGATCCATCATTGCTCATAATAGATATTTGCGATACTTAATTTGGATTAGTCAATTAATAGATTAAATATAAGTAGTTAAACAAACAACTAAACTAATATATACAACATAATACAAAAATAATTAAACAAATAAACTAGTGCATCAAAATCTATCAAACACTAAAGCCTATGAGCAGTATGATGCAAATTCAAACCTAAATGTGTTTATGATAGTAAGATCTCTATCAATTGTGGGGTGCCACCAATGTCATTTGTTTAGTATTGGCTTCTCCTAGGTGTATCGCGTTTCCCAAGTTTCATCATTCTTCTTCACAAAACAGTGTCTTTGTGAAAAAGGACAGATACTTTGAATTGAAACTTCATGAGGGCCACACAGGTGAATGAATTGTCTATGGTTTAAGTTAGTGATGCGTAGGAAAGCTGCAGAAAAATACCCATCAAAACAAAAGCGACTTTCAACAACAATTTCTAGGAGATTATGGGCATTTCTATAACCTCAATCCGGTAGAAAAGGCACTGGTAAACAGAGTTGTAATGTAAAAGGCAAGTAATATCGAAGCTAAAGAATTATGATATGGGAATGGTGCAGTGGTTGTGTTTCTTCCAATGGCGAAAGCATAGGGATAATATATAACTGGAGTTCTTGTACTGGTTCCGCAAGAAAACTGGAAAAAAAAACTCAACTCAAGATCGAAGGAAAACTAATCCTGCAAAGTTTTCACGGCCTCTCTCATTTCTCAAGATCCTTCTCCTTTTATGTATATAATATATTGATAGTATATGTGATTTTTATGATTGCAAACTCCTTCCATGTATACTTTATATATCTGCAAAATTCATGGTGGATAAACTCTCTATACATCATCTTTCTCGGGTTTGCGAATATGGCCTTTCCAGCTATAACTTTCGGATTTTGCATCTTCATCATCTTCCATGCTGTCACCTCCTGGTGGGGAGTTCCCTCCGGTGTTCGTGGCTAGCTGGAGAGGTCCTTGAGGAGAACCCGACTGGGAACTGCTTCCCTTAGACGACTCTCCATAATGATCTTGGGACAACCACAGACCACTCCCCAAAACAACCACCGACTGATTTGCAGGGCTGGTTGTGGAAGCCGGAAGTCTTCTTGTGTGAAGTCGGTATTTCTGGAATGTTACAGGGAAATGATCCCATCAAATACTCATCTTTAAAAAAACTTCGTATAACCATTAATCTCTGGAAAATATTAAGCATAGCATTTCCTCTTCTTGTTTTTTTCACAGATCAAAACTACCTAGGAGAAAATTGAATCCAAGAACCAACCTGCAAATGACTCTTAACTTCATCATTGGTCAAGCCATCTACATGCATAAGTTCCCTAATCTGCTTCGGAGTGGCCACTGGAAAAGATTCAACAACTCTTATTCAGAAACTTATAAGTGAAAGAACCAAAAAATGAACTGCCATGAAAAGAGAATGTTTCAATCCAATGATCCCAACAGAAAGGCCAAGAATAACTCGTTCTGTAACCATCTTTTATCCTCCATGGTCTCGAACCAAATGAACTATACATAATTTATACATATATCTATTAGACAGATTTAATCTATACTTTCCATCTCTAAAACAAAATCAGATCGAGTGATAAAGGACCAGAAAATCGGTGTAAAGAGGCAATGTTTCTTGGAAATGCAATCCTCTCGCTGACCAAACTTTTTAAACCTTACCTAAGATGAATGCAACAATAAGCAATCAACTCAGGACAAGAAAAAGAAGATCTAAGCACAACAGAATACAAATTGTCACTATCTACATACATTACCAATTGAACATCATTTACTCACCTTGAGAGCCTCCTAATTGCTGCAAGGCATTGACAAACCGGCGATGTAATTCAGGTGACCAGCATCTCCTTTGCTTCCTAGCAGTTTGCTGTTGTTGCTGCTGCTGCTGGTGTTGGGACAACGGCTGCAGTACAGACCGAAAACTTGACCGAGCATTGGGAGCAGAAGAAAAAACTGCCTTGCTACAACTTGTCCTTGATCCCGTATAACATGATTCATCTCTCGGATTCTTGATTCCAGGAGTCAAAAGCGATAGTGGTATCTCCTCTTTCTCTTCCTTACTCACTGCAAAGCCCAGTTTTGCCTTGAATGGCATAAATGCTGTCGCTCCTCCCCTGTTTTTACATGATTGAGATGATTCTCCAATGTTTCTCAGCTGTAAACCAAAAAAAAATACTCGATCTTTAGCAATTTTATTTCATTATAAACTACTCTTCTTAAGTTCAAATGTGGTTTAATCTTCTTCTGTTTTTTCCCTTTGAAATACCTTGGTATCTAGTTTTCTATCAATGGAACGATAATCATCATCATCATCAGTGTTCCAAAGCTGAACAGAACTCATCCAATTTTTCTTGTCCTTATTATTATTGCAGTTGCTGTTGTTAGAATCTTTTTCCTTCCTTTTGTTGATAAAGGAACCATCTTCTTCACTTTGATTATTTTCCTTCTTGTTCTTCAAAGGAATAAATTCTTCTAAAACTAGCTCAACGTTTCCGGGCATACATTGCACTAACTCCTCTTTTAAAGCTCTAATGGCTGCAATCAAACATAAAATCAAAACCTCATTCAATAAATTGATTGCAATCTGAAAACAACCAAAACCCAAGTTACAGAGTCTATCGATTTTAACCAAAACGATAGAAAAAATCCAAAAAACAAAGCCAAAGGCAAACGTTTTTCCGATGAAAGCTCACATTCGAGAGCAGGGATTTTATTTCCGTTCCAAAAAGGAAATCAAAAGAGAACCCATTAATAAGAGAAAAAGGTGTGATTCAAATTGATCGAAGAAACGAACCATCGTTGAGAAGGTGCATGCAAAGAGGAAGTTCACGTTTAAAAGCATCGATCTTTCTCATTTCTTCTTCCAATCGTTTAACAAAAGCATCAAGTTTTGAAATCCTGTCAGGAACGTTTCCGATTGATGAAAGCTCCTTGAGGAAACTACTGATCGTTTTGGGTACAAAAGTGGGTCTAAATTCCAAGCTCAGTTCAGTTGGAACCGAACCCATTTTCGATCCTTGGTTGTTTCCTCTCAAAAAATTCTTCCCTTTCCTTCCTATGGTTTCTTTTCTTTTCGTGCCCTTTGGGTTATCTGTTGAAGCAGAGAGAAAAGGAGGTGAAAAGAGAACGGAAGTGGTGAGATCTATGAATGAAAATATTATATATAGAAAGGGTAAAGAGAGCGATTCCCTAATTTTATATTTATAAATAATATTATGTATCTGAAGAGTGAACAATAAGTGTTTGTTGTTGGGAGAGAGAGAAAATAAGAAAAATTAAATTTGGTTTTCTTTGGTGAGAAAATTGGAATAGAATTTAAGGAGCGAAGATTCTGTTTGCGGTTTTTGGGTTATAAAGTCGCATACGGGTCGTTGCATATACAAGCTGGCTCACACTTACACTTTTTCTCTCTATATCGATTTTATTCCTTATTATAAAACTTTTTAAATATTATTTTTAAAAATAATATTTTTTAAATTACGTTATGTATATATTATCAAAAATATATTTTATTTTGTTTTTATTAATGAAATATACTATTTTTTTTATTTGTGAATGTGATTATAGTAATCCTCAAATACTATTTATGAAAATATTATTATTTTGTACCAGGTAGAAAGAATATATATCTTATTAAAAAATAAAAACATATGTTTTATGTGACATATTTTATACTTATGGGGTATTATTGATTAGAAGACAAGAATACACATTTTTTTAAAAAAGGTACTTCTTTCTTGAATTTTATTATTTATTATTTTTAATTTAAGTCACTCATTAAGGGTTTTAAGATCAGAGTCCTAAGATTGAATAATAATTTTTATTTATATGTTTTTTTATACATTTTAACCTTCAATATCTTATTTTTGCTCAAAATAATATTTCGTTAAATAAAATAATTAATAAACTAACCATCATTGGTTGTTATTAATGTGACATGTATATCAATAAAATTTATTTATTTTAGGTTAATATTATTTAGTATTTTATTAAATTAGTTTCATATAATACCATCTCAATTGAACTTGGATGTTTAAAATGAAATTTGAATATTTAACCACTAGGTCGAGTTAATAATATGTAACATAACTAAAAATATATTCTCATGTTAATATATTTGTAACACAAATATTAATATATTTTATAATTTGGATTATAAATTTTCTATAACTAATATATTATTTGTATTATTATATTAATATTATTTAGTTTATGATAATATTCTTCTACCATAACTTTTTTATATTAGCATTATATTACATAAATAATATATTTTTATGTTATAAATATGTTATTCATATCAAAAACGTATCAAACGATCCCAATAATAAAAGGAGTGTTATTATTCTTAAAGATATAAATATTATTTTATTGTCAAGACTATTAAATATATATATTATAAAATATTAGTATTAATATTAATATATAAACTATTAAAATAAAAAATAAAAAACGTCACATCATTAGACTATTAAAATCATTAAAAATATTTTTTAAAACAAAAAGTATAAAATATATTTAAAAATCAAAATAAATATAGAAAATTATAAAAAAAATGAAAACTATAATATATATGATTATAGAAAATTATAAATTATAAAATATAAAAATATTCATAAAAATCACATAGAAGTCATACAAAATTATTATAATGTTTATAGAAAATTATAAAACTTAATGACAATTATAAAAATAAAAAGGATAACTACACAAGAGGTCCCTTTTGTTTCATGTCTATCTTATTTTAGTTAGCGTTTTGAAAAAGTAACAATTTAGTCAATTATGTTATCCCTTTGTCTTATTTCGATCATTGTATTGTTAACTCACGTTTATTTGATGCCATGATAAGTTAAAAATGATAAATTTCAATTTTAATCCTTGAAGTTTCAAAAAATTATATTTTTCACCTTCTCCATACAAGGAAAACCCTAAAATCCCTTCTCTCAAACAAATCGCCCTTCCCTAACCTAGCACATATCTTCAATTACAATCAACTTAATTTGATTTTGATCTTCCTCATGCCCTTCTTGTCCCCATATTTATCAAAGGATTACAAAACCAAAATTCCAAAAGTTCTTTTAATCTGAATTGTGAAATGAACATGGAATTGAAGGTTATTGTCAAAGGCTACCTTTGAAGTTTTCATTGTGGAGCTAGGTTGGTGAGCTTATGCTTATCCCAGAGAGGAACCCAAGAAAACAATAGAAACACATTTTGTAACAAAGTAATCCCAATAATTTGGGACAACGTTGCCAAGAGAATTTCTTTATATGTTACTGCATCTCAACTTGTTTGAGCATTGAAAAGTTCAATTTTTTGAATTAAAATATCTTCTGGTTCATGTTGGGACGTTTGATCCAAGTTAAGTTCATTAAAATTATGTATTTTTTGAAGTGAAAATTATTCTTCAGAAAATTATAAAGAATTCCATCAAAAGGAAATTCATGAAAGATTACAAAAGCTTTTATAGTTCTTCAAGAGGTGAAATTTTTCCATAGCATTCTCTTAAACAATATCTAACTTTATTTTCTCTTGGCGTCTTCAGCTAGTTCTTCTGGAGTTTCAGGAGAACCAACGTAATTACACAGATCTGATGATAGAGAGCTTTCTGGCTTGCAGTGTTTTGGAGTGAACATTAGTGCCAGCAGATTCCACAGAGTCGTTTAGACAGACTCCGAGGTGAAGGGGAGTTAAAAATTTACAAAGAGAAAAGGCTTCGTAGGTTCCATGGGGTTTTGGCTTTATGGGTCATTTAAGAGATGGTTATTTTTCAAAGTTCAGTGTTGGCTTAACATGGAAGGGGTTTAATTTGATGCTTCGATGGTCTCAAGTATGTCGGTCATTATCTGCTTTGTAGGTTATAGGTAGCACCTTTCCTTTGCCTTATTAGGTGCTAGTTGGTAGTGATGTGGTCGATTGCCCCTGTCTTCATTCGCTTTTGGTGCGGTGATCTCGGGTTGGGAAGATAGTTTGATATCTACTCGATCGAACTGGTTGTCTCTGTTGGGAAAATGGTATTTTCTTTTGTGAAGGCTGAGTTTTTTTTTAAAGATATTTGGTGGTGAAATAAAGTATCAGATGACATGCATTGAACGAATCAGGACTGGCTATTGTTCTTAGCTTCGTCGATGAGGGTGGTGAAAGTGAAGATTTTGATGAAGTAGTGAGAATAGAAGAAGCTGAATCACATGTACGTAGTGTGTTGATGGTATTAACTAAATTTGATAAATTTCGGAGGTTGCAAGTCTACCGAATATTTTGAAAATCAATACATATTTTAGGAGTCAATCTTGTTCAAAATGTTAAAAATTTATCGTAAGTTGAATGTTTTGCTCTGAATATTTGGTAGGGTGAACTTCGACCGCAATATCATAATAAATGCATAATATATGAAAAATAGATTTTAATATAAACATATTTATGGTCCAATAACGCCTTATGTACTTTTAGGATCTTAATCTTTATATTTTTATTAAAAATTAAAGTTAAAATAATAACATTATTAATTGATTTTTATGGTCCAATTGCCCCTTCTGTTCTTTTATAATTGTACGAAATAATCAAATTTATGGAACTCTTTTACTAGTGTAGATTTTTTCAAGTAAATATAATAGTTTGTAGCAATAATTTGGAGTTTGAAAAGTGGATATTTTGATAAATATAGAAAATCATAATAAAGAATACAGGTATGGCAATGAAGTAGAGAGGTGCATGCTAGCAGTAATGGTCAATCATTTTTTACCCCAACTCCAACTCACACTATTATATGTTATAAATGATTATATATATGCTTTTATTAGGTTTACTTTTAGGAATATTTTGCAACAAAGATTGACATATTTGGATTTGCTTTCCATTTTTCTTCTCCATTGGTTGTTTATTAACTAAGAATTAATCTAAAACAGTTAAAAGAAGAACAAACTTTTGTGGTAATGAGAATGGTAGGTGTGTCTGATTTTTTTTTTCACGAGATTCACTGAATGAACCATTGCTCTTTATGCTGTCGTAAAAAGGGTAAACTACATATATTGTCATTTAACTATTTCTTTGGTTTCATTTTGGTCACCCAAATTTTTTTTTAAATCATCACTAATGTTACGTTTTGGTTTCATTTTGGTCATCCGCTATTAAAAAATAACATAACTACTAACATGATATTTTTATTTTTGAATGATGATGTAGCATTATCTTATGGTGATAAATCAATATCACCGTTAATTTTTAACGGTGGGTGATCAAAATGTAATATTAGTGATATTTTAAAAATAAAAATAGTTTAGTGAGTAACGCAGAACCAAAGTAATTATTGGATGACTTAAATATGTCGTTTACCTTAGAAACTGCAAAATTGAATCCAAAGAACAATTTATGATACCTCTTGTTTAAGAATGTTTTTTTTTTTCTTTCTACGCAAAAGACATAAATTCCTTATCAAAACCCATAAAGCCTTTCCTCTCGAAAGCATCTTTCACGTGAATGACAACAAGTTTCATTGTTTTCATGGCGTTTTTGTGAACCTTCTTCATTAGGGTGTCTTTTTGTCCCATTATTATTATTGTTTGCTCTCTCTCTCTCTTTAAAAGATGATTGTCTCAGGAAAGGCGGACTAATATACGGTTAATATACGGCGTTACCGAATACATTAAAAGATATTTGACAAATTCGGTTTAGCGCTACCGGAAATATCGAGTAATAATAATGTAATAGGTGGAAATCATGAAGAAATATTAAAAAATTTGGCAATCGGCAAACTTAGCTTGTCGGTTTGTGTCGATACTTTATAAAAATATATTGATCCATAACAATATAACAGGTAAAAAAATGACAAATCAGGTAAAGCGCTACAGGATATATTGAAAGTGTCGATACTTTATAAAAATGTATCGATCCATAACAATATAACAGGTAAAAAAATGACAAAACCGGTCTATAAATGACAAAACAGGTAAAGCGCTACCGGATATATTGAAAGTGTCGATACTTTATAAAAATGTATCGATCCATAACAATATAACAGGTAAAAAAATGACAAAACCGGTCTATAAATGACAAAACAGGTAAAGCGCTACCGGATATGTTGATAGTGTCGATACATTATTATAAGTATCGACACTTTTGGAATTTAAAAGAGAAGAAGTTATAGAGCTAATAAAGTGTCGATACTTTATAAAAATATATCGATCCATAATAATATAACAGGTAAAAATATGACAAAACCGATCTCGAAATGATAAAACCGGTAAAGAGCTACCAGATATATT